TTATTTTTATTATTTTTAATTATTTATTTTTCGTTCATTCAATTTTTTAAGTTCTATTTTTTGTTACATTAAAGTTGAAAGAAATGTGCCGTAAATAATAAAAATATTACATTTTTTAAAAATAAATTATTAATATCTTTAAAATATTTAACAAAATTATTAAATTTTATTTCTCTTATAATAAAATATTTATGAATGAGAATAAATTTAAAAATGTATTATTTTAATTTAAAGATGATAGATAACTTTAAATAAATAAAAATATGTTTAAGTTCTTAGAAATATATAATTACCAAATTTTAAAGTTTGCTCTACTTAATTATAATATTATTATATATTTATCAGTTAATTTAACAACTAATTTATCACATTTGTTATATTTTAACCTTCATCTCTTTAATTTTTAATAAAAAATAAATATATTGTCATTAATTTAAAATTAATTCAGATTACGGAGCTTTTTAAGTTGATAAGAAAACACACGATATCACATCACAAAAGAAATCCTCAGAATTATGAGTTAATTTCCAATCTCTTAAATTGCCTTCCTTGAAACCATAATCATAGACTGCCATGGACCGATGATGTCGTCATCGTCTCTCAAACAATAATTCATTTCCATTTGTGACAAGGAAACTTCACAGTTTAGCGATACCTGGAGTGTCACTTATGGGCTGAAAGGAGAAGACCAATTGAAGCACAAGTCATGCTTGAATTAACGAAAGAGGATATCTAAATTAACAAAAAAAACATCACTAATGTCTGGCATGCCTCTTCTTTATTCTTTTGCTTGTTTAATATTATTATATTTAAAAAGAAAATTCTATATCTACCAATTATATATATATATATATATATATATATATATATATATATATATATATATATATATATATATATATATGAAAGTTCAAGAAAGATAATTAATTAGATCAATTTTGACAGTCGATGACCAGAGAGATGTTACAGCTACTTTGGGAAGCTAGTAGATCAATACAATGCATTGTTAAATAAACAAGATTAAGGATAATGACATAAAAGTCAGATAATAGAACAGATGAAAAAGTAAGATGGGGGGTTTCTAAATTTGTGTTAAGGATATACTAATAAGTTCATAATTATAAAATAAAATCAATTAAAATTTCATTACTTACCTTCCATGTTGAAGGAAACAAAAGTAAGGTTTTGTTAGAATGTTAAGTGATTCATACCATGTTATTTAACGTGCATGATTAAATATCATCATTTTATTTAAAAATATTTTTTAAGTTTGTTTTGTCTTTAATCACCGATCCAAACATATCGTCATGTACTATTTATTTTGAAGAACAGCGTTCAATATAAAATACTCGCTGTTCTATATTTTCTTTTATGTTTAAAGTTTTGTAAAAAAATTAAGAAAACAACTAATATTCATTTTTTTAAAAAATAAGTATTATTCAGTATTTTTAATTATATCTCTCATCTATTATATTAATTAATGTAGGTCAGTGAAAAAATTATGGGCATTTTAGAAAGTAAAAATACATCCTTCGACTAAAAATACATTAGTCATTAAAAGTAAAATTATAAAATAATAAATAAAATAAAATAGTTAAAGTATCAAAATTAATTAATTAAATAGAACACACACACACACATATATATATATATATATATATATATATATATATATATTAGAAAGTAATTATACTCAAATTAAAAATATTTATAGCGTAACGGGATGAATTTTCCAAGCATGACACTTGAATTCAAAATCTTAAAAAAAATTAAGTACCTACGACTTCCATTGACCACTCGTTAGTATCATATATGGTATAAATGATATTGTGTGTGATATATAAGCAGATCAATAATTAATTAATATTAAATGAATATTAACAATTGTATATTTTCATTGTATGTAGTTTCACTTGTTTTGTTTATACATTAATATATTTTATATAAAACTTAAAAAGTTTAATAGATATATTTATCTTTATGGTTAAAATATTTATTTAATCCATATGGATATCACACAATTCCAATTTTTTTATAAATAATTATTCAGTTTTTATATGTGCCCAAAATTTAAAATAATCCTTGGCAATTAGGCTTATCGTAACGTTGTCCTATCATTATTAACGATTAGCCGATTAACAGTAACATATAGTAACATGACAATTGTACATTTTTAATTAAAATAAATATTATTATTCAAATATGATATCTAATTATACAGATTTTTTTATTCAGTCTCTAATCATAAAAAAATAAAAAAAAGTCCGTGATGACATTTTTAAATGATGTAAAAAAAGCATCATAAAATGAAAATTTCACAATCACTTTGTAGAGTATAAACTGAAAAATACACAATGAAAAGTAGATACGTTATAAACAGTCAAAATTAGATTCTCTAATAATTTGGCACAAGTCGCTGTGTATATGTACACAAGAAAGATATAATTATCGCCAAAGACAAACATGATGAAGATTTTCCTTTGTACTGGCTTTCGTCTCCTCAGAAACAGATTATTTAATATTTATGAGCTTGTGATGCAAATAACACAAACAGAAACATATAGGTAAGTAGCACTTCAACTTCGTGACAGATCTTGTCACCAGCTACCATACGCGCTGCAATGCGAATGAAACAACAAGGTACAGTAGCAATCTAGGACCTCCATGAGATTTGAAGAAACTTTCTTGGGTCCATCCCCAACTTCATTATTTTCTGTGGGTTCCACCAGTGCCCGTGAAAATTCATATGTTACTCTATGTTACATGCAGATCAATTTTCTTTCACGCCGACATGAGATTAAGCCCGTGACTTGTGCTATTTACCCTATCCAATAAGTTCCGTGCAATTTGCTTGGACCACTACGACAATCAACTATGAATGTCCAGATATGTATGTTTACACCAGTACTTTGCATAAATTATATTTAACCTATTAGATAAAACAAATATATAATTTTAATTTATTATATTAATGACAATTATAATATTAATAATTAATTAAACTAGCATCTTAGATCTATTTTTTTTTAAAAATAATCAAAATTTGAACCTTTTTAATTAAATAAACTTTAATTTAACATATTTAATAGGTAAATCCAACTTAACCTAAACTTAACCTTAAATTCCCCACGTATGATCTCATATATTTCGACTCCTTTCCTTTTCACTATTACAATACAAATTCACAATACACACACTCGCAGGCACATTTTCAAAACCAAATCGGGATGATAATTGAATTGATAAAAAGATTAACTTACAGTGTATGTTCTAACAAGAAGTTGAACAATGATGATATAAATTTATTTTTTAATTTTATATAATGAAAAATTAAAATATAATAATAAGGTTATGTACATTGAAAATCAAGAAGCATGACATCTTCAGATTTAGCCATTTACGTAACGTTCACTATTTATAGCGATTAAAGCACACAGTAACATTAATTAAATGCATAGGTAAATACTTTTAAGAATAAAAATTCAGAAGAAATATATAATATAACTATTATAGTGGACAGCAAAGTAATCATACGTTAGTGGTGTAGCGGTAAAGGGTGTTTCTACTATCTTGAGAACCCGAGGTGGAAATGAAAATGTCAGTTTTAATTATTGATAAATGTTAGGCAGTAATTAACAAATACAAAATATATAAAGTATTATTATTATTATTATTATTGTATTTAATAAAAATGTTATTTTATTAATTAATATTATAAAAATAATGATTAATATATAAGACTCTTAAACATTTTACAAATTCAATTTTGTATTTCATTCAACTTAATTTGAATGTGGGTAATTCGATTTAACACCGGCTACGTTCAACCCAGTTCAATCATTTTTGGGTTTAACTGTGATGACAGATTTAAATAGATAACATAACGAGTTAGTAGCTTAACCACATTAGTGGGTGATCCAGTTCAAAATCGAATCGGTCGGACCAGTAAATACTGTTCTAAATATTTAACATTACTGGTGCAATGTTTTGTGTAAACCTAACATGCAAATGAGGAATCGTGATATAGGAGTTATGTTGGTTGCTAAAATTTGAATAATAAACACAAAATAAGTTTTATATATATATATATATATATATATATATATATATTAAACTTATTTTATATATATATATATATATTTATAATTTAGATTTCTATACTTTTTGTAAATTTTTTGTTAAATGTATTAATGTATGCATTTTTACTGAATTTTATTTATATGTTAATATATTAACGTTTGATACAATTACGTTTATAAGTTAGATACCGATATGTTTTTTATTATATGGTTTACATATAAATATATTTCATGCATACTTTCTTATTCATATTGAAAACTGTACAAGGGAAACACTTATAGACAAGCTGTAAAAGGTTAACACGCAATTAACCCTAGTGAAAGTGTAAAACTACTACTCGAACTATAACTAATAACAGTTCATAACGTCTACCAACTTTCAGCAACTTGCAACTGACAAGCAATTTAATGTAAATGCACACATACTCTTCACGTGTTGTCATCAGTGGATTTGTAATCTGGTAGCAAATTTTGAATAATAATTTTTTTTTATAGAACTTACTATATTAAAATTAAGAAAATATTGACATTAATTTTTAAAGTTTGACTTTAAGTATCTAAAATTAAGATATATTTATTTACATCAATAATATAAAAGTATAACAATTATTTGTTTTTATTTTTATACGTTTAAAATTACTTTAATGTTAAATGTGATTTGGTTGATAAATTAAGTTTTAACATTTATGCGCAAGTATATTTTGATAATGAGTACAGCTTTTGCTGGTACCAAAAACAAATAATAAAACAAAAATATCAGCAATCTTTTAATTGTTTAATATTTACAGTCTTGTTAAAAAAATAATTGAAGCTAATAATTATCACCTAAGCACAAACTGAAGAACAAATTGAAGCTGAAGCCCTTCGGATCATTGTTTGGGTAATTTAGTTCGTGATATTTCCGAAGGGACAGCTACATTTTCTGCCTGACAAGTTAACACAAGAAACTGAAGGGGAAAACGAAACCCAAAAAAAAGAAGTGAGAAGGAAGCAGAAAGGAAAAGACAAAGTATTGATTAATCTCTGCATGCTCGGAACCTCTCTCGGAAGATTAGAAAAGGGGAAAAAAAGAAGAGGAAGAAAGAAAAGAGACACTGCTTAGTAGGGTGGGTTTAGCTAGCCTAAGGTATAATGGAACAGAAGAAAGGTGGCATATAGAAATAGAAGTAAAAAATAAATAAAAATAAAGGAGTGATGAGTTAATGAAATAGAATTTAAGCATAAAGAAAAATAAAATTTGTAAAGCGTAGTGTTTTACAAAGTGTAAAGCCAAATTCTCGTTGCTACTTTCCGCTGTTTTCGCTTAAAGACAGAAGAGAAGGTTATAAAAGCAGGGTATTGGCTTCACGCTCTCATTAGGTCGGATTTCATTGAAACCACTTGCTTTGGTGATTTTCTTACGGCATAAAATGGAAGCTCCTTTTCAGCAGATGTTTGTATAACCTTTTCTAGTTTCCTTTTCTTATAGGAAACAACACAACAAGTCACAATTTTTGTTGGTTAAGTTAGAGCAGAGAGAGAGTAGTCAAGATCCATGTCTGACTCACACCTAACTTTCTGTTCTCTTTCATCCATTCTTCCTCCTCTCTTAATCTTCATCTTCATTCTCTTCAAAAGAAAGCAAGCCAGGCCCAAGCTTAATCTCCCCCCAGGAAACATGGGCTGGCCCTTTCTTGGGGAGACCATTGGGTATTTGAAGCCTTATTCTGCCACAACAATAGGGGAATTCATGGAGCAACACATAGCAAGGTACCACTTAATTTTCTTTTTTTCCCATTTGACATAAAAAATTAGACTTTAACTCACAAACTCACTTGCCCAATATTAATGCTTTCAGGTATGGTAAAATTTACAAGTCGAAATTGTTTGGGGAGCCAGCAATAGTGTCAGCAGATGCAGGATTGAACAGGTTCATATTACAGAACGAAGGGAAATTGTTCGAGTGTAGCTATCCAAGAAGCATTGGTGGAATACTAGGGAAATGGTCTATGTTGGTCTTAGTTGGTGACATGCATAGGGACATGCGGGTTATATCTCTCAACTTTCTAAGCCATGCCAGGCTCAGAACACACCTCTTGAAAGAGGTGGAGAATCATACCCTCCTTGTTCTTAACTCTTGGAAGGATAATTCCACATTCTCAGCTCAAGATGAAGCTAAGAAGGTACCCTTTTTTTATTATTACTTTAATATGTATATATTTAATATGAAATAATCAATTATAAAGGAGTGTGTCACTTTGGATTGACTTAACTTAAATTGCAGTTCACCTTCAATTTAATGGCTAAGCATATCATGAGTCTGGATCCTGGGAATATCGAGACAGAGCATCTAAAGAAAGAGTATGTCACTTTCATGAAAGGGGTGGTGTCGGCTCCTTTGAATTTACCTGGAACTGCATACCGCAAGGCATTAAAGGTGATACAATAATTTAGAGAATAATTTCATTTGTTTTATTTCTCTAATTTAGTAGTACGGAAATTTCAATCTGTGGTGTTGTGTTTTACAGTCAAGGTCCACCATACTGAAGTTCATAGAGGGGAAAATGAAAGAAAGAGTGAAAAGAATCGAAGAGGGGAATGAAAGTTTGGAGGAAGATGATCTTCTGAACTGGGTTTTGAAGCATTCGAATCTTTCAACGGAGCAAATTCTTGACTTGATTCTCAGCTTGCTCTTTGCTGGACATGAAACCTCATCGGTAGCTATAGCTCTAGCTATTTACTTCTTGCCGACTTGTCCTCAAGCTATACAACAGTTAAGGGTAAGCAAGTACCACCATGATGCTTTGCCACGTGGAAATAGAATATTATCTATTAACACTTTTATGAAATATTCTAACAGAGAAATCACTCCAATTTTTACTAGTGTCTCATTTTTGTGAAAAAATTATTAATAGGAAGAACATACAGAAATTGCCAGAGCCAAGAAGCAAGCAGGGGAAGTTGAACTGACTTGGGATGACTACAAACGAATGGAATTTACTCATTGTGTAAGTTTAAGTCACATATGTATGATAGATAAATTTATTAAATTATAGGAGTCTACCTGTACTTTTTTAATTTTATGTGAATTAATTATTATTATCAATCAGCAGTTAACAATATTATATGGGATGAGAAAGCCCTTTAAAGTGTTTACAACAGAACAGCATTGTATGTACTTTTTTTATAATAGTAAGAGGGTAGAAAAATATAATATTTAATTATGTAAAGTAATTAGACAATTTTATTTTATTTTTGTGAAGGTTGTGAACGAGACACTTAGACTGGGAAATGTTGTGAGGTTCCTTCACAGAAAGGCGCTGAAGGATGTTCGGTACAAAGGTACATTGGAGAATATAGAATTGGTATTAATTTTTAGTAGAAGATGAAGATAAAAAGAAAAAAGAAAAGGAAAATGGAAGGGGTTTTCCATATTGAAATGGTTGTTTGTGTTTGAAAGGTTATGACATTCCATGTGGGTGGAAAGTCCTTCCGGTGATTGCAGCCGTGCATCTGGATCCTTCACTTTTTGACCAACCTCAACACTTCAATCCATGGAGATGGCAGGTCAGTTCTACTTATAACTATAGACAGCACGCGTTGTATAATTATTATCCATTCCTTTTTTCTTCTTTTCTTAAAGCTCATTTGCTTAATATAAAAAATATATATATCTAATAGCAAAAGGGAAAAAGAATAATAAGCAGAGGTCCCCAAGCACTTCAATTGGTCCTTGCGGTGGATCCCCACATGCAATCACTGCTTCACTCCCTTCCTTTCCGTGTGAACAAAATTTAGTTGAATTTCGGGTTTGGGATTTTGCCAAAAATGCGAGACCGTAATAGTTATACATATGGTTTCTAGTCGTAGCTCGCAACTTATTTTCTTCCTTTCCATAACACAAATAAGTTTTTACGTTTGGCGTTTCAGAATCAGTCCCAACATAACTAACGTACACACGCCGTACGGTTTGACAAAACGGAAAATAATGCCTCAGGTCATCCGTTTATCATTATAGTTGACTTGGTCCTCCTAGCTATCTATGGCTATAGCCCCGTCCCAAACGTAACCTTATTCGTCACCAAAGCACATGCTTAACCTAATAACCTACATGGTAGTCCCCCTAAACTAAATAATTCAGTGCAAGGTCAAGAGACAGATGATTAATTAATTAATTAATTACTGCATTTCCCTTAACCAATGTTCATTGTTCAAGGAATGATTGGAGTTCATATTTCTTTTCAATTATTAACAACCCTTTTTATTTTGTAAAAAAACGTAGGATATACTAGATATAGATATAGACATGGTAGGTAATTTTGATGGGTACGCGTTTAAATGGAAGCAGGAAATTAATTTAGATTTAGATTTAGTGATGGTTTCGGGGTAAGAAATGATTGTCCGGAATGGCGAATGATCAAAGGATGTGGGCTACAGCGACAATGGAGGATCAAGTGGGTCCAGTCGATCCCATGCATCTAAAAGAGTGGCGAATGAGGGTACATCGTAGCCGTTAAGTAGAGAGAAGTAGGAAAGCAATAACCCTGAGTCCTCCTAACGATGATGAACTGTCATGATCAGCGAAGGGGATGTTGTGAACAGTACGGATGTGGGTCCCAATGGATGGGACGATGATGAGCATGGCTCATTGGGTCTTTTGTGAACGTGTGGGCAGGTCCTGAGGTTCCAGATCATTAAAGCCCATGTGGAAGTGGGCCTCACCCATGCACGTGCATACGTGCTTTTCTCTTTCGCAACCTGGTCCTGACGCCTCTTCCATTTAATTTAATTAAATAACAGAGGAAAATTGTATGTAGCCAAGTGGGGAAAGCGATCCATTTGAGGATAACAATATGATGGCGACTAGTACCGTAGCCCGCTACAGGCACCAGAAATTTAATCATGAATCTCAAATTATTTATCCTTAGCCTCGGTTTGTTGGATACTGCCACGCATTCATCATGTAATATATATTCTGCTACCTTGTTTTGTGATGTTATTATTGTAGAGAACCGTCTCATATCCATTAGAAATAGACAGCAGTGGGTTTTTCACATCATTATGACGTTAGTATTCTTTGTCTTCACATTTTAAACATTTCTTATAAAATTATATTGATGTTGTTGTGTTTGGTGGTGCAGAACAATGGTAGCCGTGGAAGTTGCCCAAGCAAGAGCACAGCCACCAATAACTTCCTACCATTCGGAGGAGGACCACGATTATGTGCGGGATCAGAGTTAGCCAAGGTTGAAATGGCTGTTTTCATCCACCATCTCATTCTCAACTACCATTGGGAATTGGCTGATACCGATCAAGCCTTTGCATACCCTTTTGTTGATTTTCCCAAAGGCCTTCCCATTAGAGTCCAAACCCACTCTTTGATTTGACCAAAATCCACCCCCCCATCCGTTAGCTAGTTCCCCCATGCCAATATATAATAACTCCAAGCCTAGCCCATTACACACTTGGCATGGCTACAGCTTTCCTTATTGGATTTGGAGATCAAATCAAATCAAAAGTTAAATTAACCGCATGAAGAATTTCATGTTCCTCCAATCTTCCAATCTCATCTCGATCGATCGTACAAATTCAAAGCCTTCCGTCTTTCTCGCGTGCGAAGGGAAGACAAATGTAAACCAATTAAGTACAATTGTACAAACACACAGCCATTAGGACCACTTCCCTTCTCCCTCTCTAAGGCTGTAGCAGATTTTTACTGCACCGTACCCCACACCCACTTTGTACATTTTATATATTCCACCCCAAAGGCCAGGACGAGTGAATATTTATTCTTTTATATTATTACGCTACTGTAATCTATCTTTCTTTGCTATATATAATAATCCAATTATCTTTTGTGTACAATCTTTGTGTGTGTGTGTGTGTATGATAATCTATTGACGTACCTTATATTGTGTTAACGTCATGCGTTGCCAGTACCAAGTTAAATATTCCAACGTGAAAGAAGGGTAGGTTTGCAATTTGGGAGGCAATTTTGTTGTTGTAACGGGGTTTGGGAGGGACACTCCAATCCAATCTTGGAAATTTAGTACAAATCGTAAGCTCCACAAGCAAAATAAAGATCTTAACTTTTTGCGAGAGGCGTCTCAGTAACGATGCCGGTTGCGGGCACAAATTGCACGCTTTGACTTTGCTGTAATGTGATTAATTAAGTAGACAGCGAAAGAGGAATTGATGAAGGCCCCACTCTACACTCCTCCATTCTTCAGCATTCAGAATGTCGGGCACTCACACTGCTGCCCCTTCTTTTCTTTCTTCCTTTTTAAGATTTTATTTATTTATTATTCATATCGATCGATGCTCGATTCACGTAACCTATTATATTCAGTTACTATTTTGTGTGTAACACAAAAATTATTAGTACTCATGTTCGATAATCAACTATCATAAACTCAGAAGTACTCGCTTCAACAAATTGTACGTAGACTTCTTTTTTTTCTTATTTAGCTGTGTGGCGCGTATATGATGAAACAGTGTTATCCATTCGAAGATAAATATGTGATAAATTCTGCTAGAATTATAAGATAGGGATGAAATATCAATTTTCGAAAAGTTTATAGAATGTCTGAAAAAAACATTGTAATCATCGCTAAACAAATTAGGACTCCTTATAATTTGGTTTGAAGTAGAAAATTTTCAGCGAATTCAGTTACGTTATTTTCCTTTTGCAATGGTATGATAAAGTTCCGTGTCAAGATTTGACACCAAACAGTGTACTTACTTGCGGAAATCACGCGTGGGTACTGATAATATTATAGGGACCTTGTTTCAGGTCTCTCTCTTTTTATACAAGGAGTGTCTAAGTTATATCGTTAATAATTTCGTAGATAATTAATTTTGGATAATTTTTTTATTATAAATAACAAATTTAATTTTGTGTTTACTCACTGCAATAACACAGTTTTTTAATATATTCAAATTTTGGATAATTAAAAATTATAACAGAAATGATTTTTAATTTTATTTGGTCAAAATTATAAATTAATAAAATTATTGGTAGTTTATAAATATAAATATAAACAAGAGGTGTTAAATATGTTTTTTTTTTCTTTTTATGTGATTGTGTAAATAAAAAAAGTTATGAGTTTTTTTTCTTTTATTTCTTTCTTTTTAGGTGACCGTACTTTTAGAAATAAAGAATGTGAATGACTCTTTATTTTTATCATTTTTTTATCCAATATATATTACTTTAATTATTAATGTCAAATTTTTTAGTTATAAAAAATAACTAGGTTTATTAAGGAACGACTCTTGATGTTCATATTATTCTATTTTGTGCTTTGATATTTAACATTGGTAGCCCTCTTACAACAATTGTTATAGCTCTATTGTATTTTGTATATATAATCCAAAAGTTGCTATAGAAAATAAAAGAACAAGAGAGGTTTGCAGTGCTTTTTTACTCTCTAACATGGAATACTCTAGCTTTCAGATACATAAAGATAATTAATTCAATTGTTGTGGTTGAATATTATTATGAATTTCTAACCACATTTTTTATGGGTTATCTTATCTCTTCTTTCTTTGATATTGAGTTATGGAAGAAGGAATTGAAAAATATTATCAACAATATTATGGAACAGCTCATCATGTTCATGTCCATCTATTTTGTGTTTTTACATTTAACATTGAGTAGACTTTATGCAATAATGATCATAGCAATATCATATATTTTATTTGAGTTCTTGAGCAATAATCATAAAGTTTTTGAAGTATGAAAGCAAAATTCAATATGTAATTTTAGTATTGAGAGAATATTTTTTAATAATATTATTTTTAATTATTAAACCCTATTTTTTTAACAAAGTTTAATGCTCTTCAATTTATGTTACCTGATAACAAAATTTTTTAAAAGCTATTATCATTTAACTTTTCTAAAACTTAAAAAGATGATTTATTTTTAATTTATAAAAAAATATTTATTTTTATATTATTTTACTTCTCTCGATCTTTTAAGGACCTATGCACAAGTTTACTCAAACTAGAACATATATTGTGTCAACCAAATGATTAGCAAGCTATAGACTACTGTTCTTAATTCAGAAAATGAATGAGTTATGTACAATTTTTGAATTATCTCTTTTATTTTTAGTCGAAAGAATGCATCTAAACGAAAATTAAGAAATAAGTAAAAATATAAATAATTATATATAAAATTGCATATAATTTATAATTTTAGTTGTTGAAATAAGAAAGCTGATTTGAAAATGACTAATTTTAAATCCTCCTATCCTTTATTCATATAAATTCTCCTAATTATTAAACAAAGAAAGTATTTAATATGTTTTATGTTTATAATATAATAATAAATGAATATTTTTATTTAATAATTATTTTTTAAAGTAATAAAAAGATTATTTGAAGGATACAGAAAATCTTATTAAAAACATGTGTGGTTAAAGTGAACGTTCAGGTCATCAATGAGATTAAGATTTACTCATATAGTAAGTGTCTCCATGCCTTAATCGTAAATAGCGCTAGATCACAGCCTTCTTGTCAGGTTATATTTGCCATGTAGCGTCCTCGTTAGGTTAACTTTCGCTTTCCGATCGTAGTGATGTGTCTTCGTCCTCTCGTTTCATTATCTGTGGTCTATGAAGTTGCACGTTATGGATCCAATTTAGGATTCTTCGAACAATGATAATTACGTAGGTAGGTCTCTGTGTCATAGAAAAAAGTTCATAAAATAAAGTAAAGATGGGTTGGGTTGGGACTTAGGACACTACCAACCGTCTTCTTCAACCATATGCAAAAGCCAAAAATTGGCTGTTTCGTACTTTCAGGATAAATAGTTATCAAGTTCAGAAAAGATAGACATAGTTTGTATTTTAACTAAGTTTACAAAATATCCAGCCTGACAAAACCAACGAGGATGGGAATGATCATCGATAATTATGAAAAGAAGAAAACAACTATTGCTTCGCTCAACACCAAACCAAGTTTTGGGTTCAGCCCTAGCTCCGATACTCACCGATCAACACAACCTCTCCTGGTCCAGTCCAGAGATAATGAAAAAAATTACATATTATAAAGTTTGATTAGTTGGTTAATCTCTGTTAGATTATGTACATTAGTTGTTAGACAGATATTTTATTTAATTAGATATTAAGTGCGTGTTTGATTAGCTTATTTAATAAAAGAAAAATTATGAAAAAGAATTATGGCATTAGCTTAGAGGGTTTATAACATGGTAATTTGTATTCCCATATGTCGAATAACTCAATGATATTATTAACTTGAAGGAAAGCAGTGAGGACGACAAGGTCCATAATGCAAGGCGTAGCCGGATAAGCATTTTTGTTTTTACTCATAACCACACAAGCATTTATGAATTGACATCTAACAAGTTGTGGTATTCTTTCCTCTGTATTCAATAATTCATGGACTTCACCATAAGTGTAAGGGACTTCTGGCCCCAACAAAATGTGATTCAATGGTACTATAGATCTGTATATGATGACAAAAACAAAATCTAGATACGGTGCCTGGACAGTGGATACCCCAAAAGATTACGTGAATAATAGGCAGTGGATTGTTATGCAGAAATAATAACTTTAAAAGTTCTCTAAATAATCTTTTGATTTTAAGTTCGTTTTCGTTTAGCTTGATACATCGTTTAGCCCAACAAGGTGATGCTAAAGTAAAATATCAATTTTTGTGTTTGGAAGCTTAAAAGGTTACATTACTAAGACCCAAAAAAAGAGTTACACTACAGTTTTTTTGGCTTGCAATACAAAAGAAGAAAAACACCAAGAAGCTAGACCCAACAAACCCTGAAGCAATGCAATAATGTCCAAATAGAGCCCACCAAAACGAAAACCCAGAACCTATACCCTATCGTGGGTTTTAAAGATCTAAGACACATACTACAGGCAAAGAGCCGTACGAAAAGCAGGGGTGTAATGTAAATCAATTAAGTTATTTATAAATTATTACAACTTCACTAGTTAAACGTTCAATTAAGTTCATTGGTTTTCATAATATATAAATTTAAACTTGGCCTTAAGCTCGATTATATGAGTGAATTAAATTTGGGTCTGACTTATTTTTACCCCGAGGAAAAAGAAAACTTTCCATAATCACTTTAACATAAACGGAGATAGCAACCAAGTACCCCTCCTCCACATAAGTGAAATCCTGGTCTAACCACTTGGGCTTTGTTTTCTTTGGTCAACAACTAATTGGGCTTTATTAAGTACCCGGTGAAGATTATCTGCACAACAAAAAAGATAAATTTTCCATGACAAAGAAAAAAGTTAATCCATTAACATCCAATCTATTCAAATTCATACATAAAAATTTAAAACAATAGATGGATTATATATGATCATCATTTATGATTAAATGGATAATGAATTATCTACCGTATTTTGTAATACATAAAGTTAGTGATGACAGGTGGTAGTAACTCAGGTGTAGTGTTTTGTCGAGGTGGCGAAGGTAAATCTGGTTTAAAAAATAACACTTCCAAGAAACAATAACAAAAGATGGGACATAAAATTAAAGTGTAACAATAACACTTCAAAGAAGAGACCGAAACGTAATGAGAACTATTTCTCATTATTTGTTGATGAAATGGCAACTATATATCCGTGTGAAATCCAACAATTAAACATTTTTTTACAAATTTTATTTGATATTTTAATTTAAAAGGCGAGACATAAAATTAAAGTGGGTTAAATATAATTAAAGTTGCGAGGGGACGTAATATTTCGCACAAGTTTAAAGGGGACAAATGGGCCTTACCAATGATAAGCCCAGTATTTTAATGCGATCTAGGCCCAGTACAGTTAGGCCTCACCGGTCACCGGTCAAATTAGATACCTGTGTTGCATTTGCGCCAT